GATTACAATGAGAGCCAAGCATATGCAGCCAAGGCTCAGCATTTGGCCTTCAGTCAGAATATGTATTAGGTTTTGCTTTTCTTTTGATGTAGAGGATATATCAAAAACATCGTCCATTTTAAACTTGTTTTTCTTTTCTTTTCTTTCGCTTGTCTAAAGTGAGACATAAGTTCCCGTCATCCAACCCTAAGTGAAAGTCACAAAGCTAACTTCTAACTTTGCCAACTGTAGTTCTCCAAACTTGCCAGTACTTTTGCATCGATGATGAGGACAGGTCATATCGACCTGTTGACGCAAACATATGCCTCTGCAGCACAGCCCAGGGATGACACAGGTGACCCTGCCTGTCTGTTTCACAAGCAGAGGTATTACGTCAGTTCTTATTGGAAATTCCCTAGCCAGGCACCTTGTGAAAAACGGTGTTTTAGCTGTTTAGATTGTAACTAGTTGTGTTTATACAGGAACTCTGAAACTAATTTAGCAATAACATATTTAAAACTACCATCTTGCACAATGAGAAAAAGCTGAAAACAGCCAAAAGTAATGTTAGTTTGAATGGCCTCAACAGAACTGGCCAAATATTTTTAGCGCTTACGTTAGTGTCATTCCAAGAGAGTGCACAAAAAGTTGAAGGTGAGACAGAGTTTTCTCATTCTGGTTCCAGTCAAAGACACAGAAGAAGTTTCCTGCACCAGGAGCTTACAATGTCTGAAGATAAAAATAGGAAAAATTTTTGGGGAAAGGAAGTATTACTACACAGTTTCTGCGACAAAAACCTTAGGCAAAGAAAGAAGAATCATTTGCTCAAAGCTACCAGAGGTGTGATGTTCTGAGGAACTGCACTCACTGCTCCTGGACGAGGCACTGGAGTATTTTTCCACTCCATTTTGCTCTTTGGGGTGATATTTAACATCATGCATGGCAGAGCATAAATATACAAAATAACAAATCAAAGTAGTTCAGATCAGCTGGTGGTTTATGTCTACACATAGTGTGTCTATGTCTTCAATAATGCAGGTAAAAAAAGCTGTCCAGAAGGATAACCTTGATCAAACTTTTAGGTAGTTCTAGAAGCAGAACTGCGACAGACACGGGGAAGAGGGGAATCAATTTTACTGGCAAAAAGAGACTATGAGGCTTTAGATGAAGTTCTAAGACAGCCTTGCTCCCCTGACCACAGCTACTGCTGGGGTGAAAGCACCACAGAATAGGTCTATTTAAAATACTCTAATGCTTGTGGCAGAGCCCACGTTATGCTGATAAAACAGGTATGCATTTCTGAAGCCATTTTGTGCAGTTTACTATGGATTTTTAAGGCTCTTGTAGTGAATTTTGGCAGTGCGCTTCTGATGTTAGAATAGTCCTTTCCTGCAGCAACCTGGGAGTCAAGTTTTGGAATAGATGGAATTTCAAAAAAGGTTAGGGAAAATTGAGTTTGAAAGAATGTTGATGCCTATACACACATCTAAGTATTTAGGTACGTATGTACAAGACTTAGGTGCGTATAAAGTAGAAAGAAAGGATTGTAAGGCAATATTAATTTAAGGACGTAGGGCTGGAAGAGGCTTCCTTTTATACACAGGGAAAGAATTTCCTTTCTGAATTCTTAAGAAGTTTTGTGGGGTTGCTTTTTTTTTTTTTTTTTTTGAGTCTTGGGTTACTTCATGTACACGGGCCCTACCAAAGTGATGGCTGCAAATCTCAGGCACAGTTCTCATTTTATTTTGGCAGGATCACTTTCCTGATTTTCCTCTGAAAGCATTTAAAATAGTTCTCCATTATAAGATTCGCTGGTTTAAGTTTATGTAAGAAAAAGTTTAAAAGTGGAAGACAAAACTGCTATTTAAATCTATTCCTTCTACTCAAAGTTCTTTTCTTCTACCATTGGGCTCCCAAAATCTTGTCTATAAGATGTCAGCAAATGGTCATTGATTTTTTTTCAAGCGTGAAATCACTAATTGGAGAAATGTAGTCTTTAAGTTCATGATAAAAGGCTGATAGAACAATATAAAATAGCAGTTTCAACTGAAAGCTTGACGGTAAGGTTGCAAAGAGATCCATAGACATGCTGACTGCTGAGAGGCTGATGACACAAGCAGCTTTACTAAAGTAATGGGAGAAAACACCTCCTTTATTAGGATAGACTCTGTGAAAAGCTGACGTAAGGCTCCTCTGCCTGACTGCCACAGTCATCTTCTCTCTGATGTGTTTTGAAGTGTAAAAGAATGTGAAGAGCAAGAAAGTCTGTTCTGTGTCAAGTAATGGAGGAATACCTGAATAGGTGAAAATTCTTGAGACAAAGGTGACTTTCAGAGTTTACACGCTTACGAGTGTGGCAAAAGTATTGGGTGCCCAGAGAATAAAATCTCACACAAAATTTTGTCAAAATGCTGGATAGGAAATGTGCATTTATTAATAGCTTGCTATTCTCTTTTTGCTGCTTTTCTCCTCTTTTTACTGTCTTTCTTTTTAAAAATAATCAGCTTGATATTTCTGTTGACTCAGTTATTTCACATGTGTTTGATGTGTCAGAGTATTCTGAAACATTAAATTATATAAATGTTTCTCGTACCAGAGAGACAATTAAAATGCTGATGTAGATGTAGACTCCTTATTCCTGGTATATTCTTATATTGTAGAATATTAGGGCTGATTCTGTCTCACTTGCTGTATGAGCACTCAAAAATTCCACCTCTGAAATGGAAACTCTTCTAAGTATCTTGGCCCATGCAAATGCCAAGTTGTTTCCATGTATTTGAAAGACAAAGTCCAGCATATTTGTCTTGCAATACTTGGCTGAGTGTTTTAAAATGGGAGATTTAAAAATGAACTCTCACAATAGTAGAAAAAGGTAAAAGTGGCAGCTGTTTTATGGAAACTTTGCTGAATTTCTTTTAGTAGACAGTTGTGTGTCGATACTGCTTAAAAACATTGAAATCACTTTTTGATAAAAGTTGTGAAGCAAAAAATACACACCTACTTCTTCAGTTTTTAACTCATGCCTTGAAAAGGCAAAGTTTCCAGTGACATGTACAGAAAACAAGGTCTCATTACTTAACAAGGTCTATTTCTTCAACTTTTCTTTTTTTCTTCCATAGATATTTTAAAAATAAGAACAGCCAGCATTTTTAACTTTGTCCTTCTTTCATTGAACTGATGTAGGAGGAAACAAAACACCTGACAGAAGCTAACAACCTCTTGTCAGATGGCATGCTGATGAGGGTGGTAGAAATATCTACCCTGAGTTCAGGGGTCAGAGTTGGACTATGAAGCAATAAGCACAAGGAAAGAACTGAAAAAAGAATTATTTTCCTTTCTTGCCTGGCTTTTTGAAACTCAGTACTCTTTCAACAAAAGTCTCTTTAGATTTGCAGATATTTGGGATTGAGGAAGAGGTGTTCAATTTCATTGTTGGCTCCTTCCAGCCAAAGCTATACTTCAGCAAGCTTTCACCAGCACGCAGAAGAAGAGTTGTCAATCAACAGTTAAATACTGACATGAATAGTGCCTTTGTAAATATTTCTGTTGTGCCTTTGAAAGCACACAAGCCAAAACAAAAAATCTTTTTCACAGTGTGTGAAAAACAAAACTGAAATGCTTCAACAGCCTTTCACAGCTAGAAAGCTGGCCATATAAACTCTTTAAAATTGAATGCTCTTTGTCAGGCAGAGGAAAGCTTGTGTTCTGAGATTTGACCATCAGGCAGCCCAACAGTGCAGCTGTACGCCTTAGAAAAGCATTTCTTAGCTGTGTGAGTTGGTTGGCTGAATTTTTATTCACATTCATGAAGCATTTGCAGTCGTCATTGTATTCATCTTGAACGAGTTTCCCTTTTAAAGGCATTAGCAAGACACTAAGCAATTTCCACACCTTCTGTCAGATCTGATATATTGTAAGTTCTGCCATACAGATCCCCAAGTTGAGTGATTTCCTTACCTGAAAGATTCAGGGTTTGGGTTTGTGTTGTTTCCTTTTTTAAATGCTGATTGCACTTGGTGTCACAGGCTCAGCCTCTTTGGTAGCACCAGCAGAAAGCAGTAGGTAAATCAGGCTTAGATAAAGTCTTTGTCTGTGTAATGTCCCAATTCAATTAAGTCATATAAGCATATCCCTGACTTTAAATACAGGGATGATTGGAACTATTAATAGGTTTAAAGAGAGAAAAACAAATTGCTGAACTGCTGGCCAGTTTCTGAGGTGTTTTTCTTGTACTTCATGTGTGGCTCCACTGAAGCTGTTACTCCTGCAGTAACGTCTTTCTGAACGTGAAGTGCAGAAAGCAGTGATGGAGGCAAAGAAAGAGAAGCAGGTTTTTTTAAGAGGCAGTAGGAAAAGAAGAGCCTTGCATACACAAAGAAAATATTTTTCATACGTATAAGTTCATAAT